CTTTTCTTTGAGTCTGAGAATTGGCCGGCCAAGCACGTGCTCGATGGCGTCGGAGGTATAGAAGTGTGGAGCACAGATGCTAAAATATCAAACTCGTCAGCCAAGCTGCCATCCATGACCAAGCATGGCGGCGCCAGGTGTGTAGAAAATGTTCGCCGAAATTTCGAGCTCGTTGACCAAGATTTCACCCTTCCCGGAAGTGTAGAAGACGTATGGTGGAATTCCGAGTTCGTCAGCTAAGCCGCCATCATCTCCGGAGGTGTAGAAACACACCGGACTTTTGAGCCTGCCCTCGCTGTCGTGGCCACCTTCTCGAGCTAATTCTCTTCATTTCAGACGAAGACCGACACCAATGAGGTTTCATTAGCCAGTTGGAAGCTGAAGATATTCGCCGCCTCTTCAAGTCTTCGCGGGAGTTCCTAACTTAAATAATTAAGAATGACAACGATGAACCACAATGGGGTAGCAGGTAGCTACAAGATGAAACAAAAGGAGGAACAATATGGGTTGAAGATAGAAAGGGAAATCCAAGAAAGAAGAAATGTTGGTACAGGAGGTTTGTAGAGAAGATGAAAGAACAAGAAGAAAGAGAGGTGGGGCGGAAGGAGAACAAGAAAGAAAATTAAAAAAATAAAAAAGTCCATATGGACAGTCACACATTCCAAATGACTGGATGACCAGATCTTAAATTCCAAATTTGACTGCTTTTTTAGATTGGATGAACTTAATGGAGTGTTTTTTAGATCGAAGGCTTATTTGACTTTTTTCATATACTACGGGGTCTATTTGACAACTTTCTCTTTATATAATAATTAATAAACTTTTTCCACTACGAAAAGAACGTTATTTAACACATAAAAATGCATCAAAGAAGGATAAAATTTGTGTTCTCATTTTGCGAAAAGAGAAGACGTATTTGCGCACATATTTGGGGTGCATTGGAGAGCACATTTACTAGAGGGCACCGCATTTGGTGAGGTGGAGATTAATCCACCTCTCCATTAATGGAGATGCCCTTATTGGTGAAAGTCCAATCATAAGAGCATCTTTAATGAGAAATAGAAATATGAGTGATGCCTGTCATGTTGAGCCGGAATGAAAAAAAGGGGACATTGTCTATTTCGCGGTGAAGTTTCAGCAAGTCTAATTGACATGCTGACTCAGCAAAATTTATTTCAGGAATATAATTGTTGTAAATCATCACTCGCTAATGCGTAGTAATGAACAAAAGCTCCCATCCCTTCCATCAAGCACCACCCAACTGCACTAGTACAGTTGTACCAAACACCACAACCATCTCTCCCACTGACTATCAGCCCTTGCGATGCGGGAACACCCCTCCTCTAGACGGAAGAAATGGCTGGCGGGCTACCCGTTTTTTCTCCGGTGATCTTCTTATCTGGCTTGTTTTGTTTTCCGTCAGCAGGAAATCAGCAAGGCTTCATTTGTCAGCAAGACTCTACAACACACATGCAAAGCATAATGCACTAATGATGCATGGAAAACAAAACACGTAACTCAATCAATTGCTGAAGCAATTGAACACCTCTCAGAATACCAAATTCTCAGTTTGCACCAATTCAATAACCTCTACGACAACCAACGAAAATTTCAAAATAAGTGCGTATAATATAGATATGTATACATATTTATTTATTTATGTGTGTGTCAGTGTGTCTACGTGTGTGTGACTTTATCAGGAAATTTTGTTGAGTGTTGTCTTGTTGAGAATTATCTTGGGCGGGAAAACTGAGAAGCTCCAATGATGATGATGATGGTTGTTTTGCGTCTGTACATCTTCTCCACTTAGCCAAGAATGGGTCCTGTGTTCCGGCTTCCTGATAAGTTCGTATTTCAACGCACATTTGATGCGTGTTGAGATTGAGTTTTGTCACGGTTCCTAATTTATTTGCGTCACTAAGCGTTCATTTAATTAGCTCATGTCACTATTTATCGGGTTTTATTTGCATTCGTTGAAGACAAGATGGAATTAAGACCCAGCATCGGTGTTTGAGCTTAAGTTGAGGAGATTCAGGATGCGTTCGAGAGATAGCAAGAGGTATCGAAGGTACAAGGGATGCTTTAGAGGCATGATTCGAGGCTAGAATGGTCAAAGAATGAAGATAGGATCGATTGGGAGCAAACAGGGAAGAAAATAACAAGAATATGGTTCAAGAGACATCCGCGCGCCCCACGGGTCATTCCCGCACGCCCCGTGGTGATTTTGAGAGATAGAGGTCAAAAAGTCTGAATCACACGCCCCGCGGTTGAACCGCACGCCCTGCGATCCAGAAACATGCCTCAGGGGTACCCGCACGGTCGGACCGTGCGGGCGGAACAAAATATTGACTCGCGGAAGGCAGCGCTATCGCCCGCACGCCCCGTTAGTCGATTTTCACCCACTTTTGCCGTTTTTCTATAAATTCAGCCCTGTTTTGTTCATTTTTTATAACGGAGCTTAGAGAGATAAACCCTACCACATTTTTTGAGAGCTTTTCAAGCCTTGTTTATCAAGATTGTGGGATTCTTTGTAAGTTCCAACTGTAATTAATGACAATTAATTCTTTTCATCTGAAATATGTTGATTCTTCAATTACGAATTGTGAGTAGTTTTAATTAGGGATAGATAAAGGGATTGATCATGATGTATGTCTAGTTTTTGATGGATTAATTGCATGAATCTTTATTTAATTTGTGTATGAATGATTTAATTGATATCTCTTGTAACCAAGAATGGCCACTAGGATTATAATTGCATGTAGAATAAATTAAGAGGGATCTAATTTATTGTAGGACACTTTCACACACACTTAATCGTTCGCAAAGAGATTAGTAGTGATTAAGGGTCGTAAGTGTTGGGTTTGCTTAGAAAAAATAATCCATGCGTAGCTCTCTAATGAAGTAATTGCTCAAAAGAATAAATACTACACGTAGCTCCCTTTTCTTTTGTAAAGCATAATCACAAACACTTTTGATTCACCCTTTTCAAACTTATAAACAAACCTGCTGGTGGTTACAACTCAAAAACCCACTCGCCATGCACTCACCCACTACCCATAATGGACAATGCTAATGCATGTAATACTAACGTATGTACATGTAGTTACATGCATGCGTAACTAATAATAACATAATGTATGTAATACTAAATGCAAATAACTTAATATATGCAACTTGACTAATTTGACCCAACTTAGACTGCCACTAATGTAACGGTACATACGCGTATCAGTACCGCTACAACACATGTACGGTGTCATGCGACGCACACTACTTGACATGACTCATCCCGCCGTGCACTAACACTCTAGTCTAAAATGAATCAATGACTCAAAATAAAATAAATTAAACATGATGAAATAATAAACAACAAGGTTAACTCCAACAATCACCCCCTTAACCTTGTTGTCTTTTATTTTGAACTCCTTGCGGACCATCATAGCAGTGCCGGCTCGTTGTCGTCGGTCACGGCGGCGAGATGTGCCTGCTCCTTCCTTGGTGTTGTGCAATCCTGGGAGAAATGCCCATACTCTTGACAATTGTAGCATCGAACCTTACAGATGTCGAATGTCCTCTTCTTCTTTCCGGTGTGGCCGCGGTAGCGAGAAAGCCACTCCTCCTCCGTGAGGAGCAAGCAACCTCCACCGCCATGGTCGTCGTTGTCGACGTCTGCATCACTCCTATCCTCCGCCGTTTTGAGCCTTCCCACAAGCTCCTCCATGGACATGGATTTAAGATCGAGAAGTTGCTCAATTGCAATAGCTACCTGAGTGTACTTGGATGGCACAATGCGGAGTAATTTCTTCACGACCTTCACCTCCTCGAGGGTCTCACCGAGGGTGCGAACCTTGTTGGCGAGCCCGTTCATGCGCATGGCAAGCTTGTCGATCGTCTCGCCGCTCCACATGCGGACGACATCAAATTCCTTGAGTAGAGTTTGTGTCTTGGCCTCACGGACACGCTCATCGCCCACATGCATGGATTTGATGGCGTCCCATGCCTCCTTTGCCGTCGCCTTCACGGCAAGCGTGGAGTGCATCTCCGGTGGTACGGCTCGCAGAATTGCCGCAAGTTCCACCCTATCCTCGGTGAAGCTCCCGCCACCCTCAACGGCGTCCCACACACTTTGGGCCTCCATGTTCACCTTCATGATGAGCGCCCACTCGAAGTAGTTCTTCGCTGTCAACGTCGGGTAGACGACGGTGCTGCTAGCCTGGTGGACGACGCGCTGCCGCATCACCACCTCGCGGCCGCCTCGCCGTGTCAGACTCCGCCCACAACGTACCGGTGATCGTGACGGAGTGCGCGAACCTTCACCTACCATGGCTCTGATACCAAATGTTGGGTTTGCTTAGAAAAAATAATGCATGCGTAGCTCTCTAATGAAGTAATTGTTCAAAAGAATAAATACTATACGTAGCTCCCTTTTCTTTTTTAAAGCATAATCAACACACTCTTGATTCACCCTTTTCAAACTTATAAACAAACCTGCCGGTGGTTACAACTCAAAAACCCACTCGGCATGCACTCACCCACTACCCATAATGGACAATGCTAATGCATGTCATACTAACGTACGTACAGGTAGTTACATGCATGCGTAACTAATAATAACATAATGTATGTAATAATAAATGCAAATAACTTAATATGCAACTTGACTGATTTGACCCAACTTAGACTGACACTAATGTAACGGTACATACGCATATCAGTACCGCTACAACACATGCACGGTGCCATGCGACGCACACTACTTGACATGACTCATCCCGCCGTGCACTAACACTCTAGTCTAAAATGAATCAATGACTCAAAATAAAATAAAATAAACATGATGAAATAATAAACAACAAGGTTAACTCCAACAGTACGCTCACTTGTTTTGACAATAATTTAGCTACTTCTCGCATGAGAGATCAACCTGGTTCCCTAAATTATTATACTCTATGCCGCGAGAGCGGTAAGAACTTAGTATTGACCAGCATTGCTCAATTAAATAATTTTAATGTGATTATGAATGATCAGTCAGATATCTGATTACCTCAGAATCAATATGTGTTATAAACACAACAATTCGCTAACCACTAAGCGGGCAACTTAAAGCCTATTGTGATAAAAAAAGAGATTGCCCCACAGAGCACCAACTTGGTGAGCACTCCACACCACAGTCACAATAAAAAACATCCTAGTGTCGTCACCAATAAAACAAAAAACAACATAACAGAAACCCAAAGATTAGAGAATATTTGAAAATAAAATGGAAATCAAAAGAAATTAAATAAAACAGAGAACTTGCACAACTCGTCTTCAATTTTCCCAGCAAGCCTATTGTCCAAAGCTCGCCCCAACCCCGTTCTTTACCCCCATGAATTTCACTTCCACTAATGTCTCCTCTTCCATCTGGCGGCTCTTTTGCTCAGCAACCAGAAAGTCTTTCTTCTGTTTCCCTAAACCTTTAATCGCACTTGCAAAAACATCAGATGTAGATCCCCAAACCAGAGTGCCTACCCGTTGCACTTTCTCACCATGGAGCTTGTTGCTACATCAATAAAGTAAATCCCAATCATCAAACCGTGAGCAGCATAACAATCAACCCAAAGGCCACCCGGAAAATTCAGCCACATAGTTCACCCATGACTTGGGCGAGTAGGTCACGCCACATCTCCCCAACAACCGCCCAACTTGTAGAACCACCATAGAAGCAGTCTCCAACCCATCCCAGTCCAGTGCAAGCAATCACCGCCAAATGTTGGAAACACAAAATTGGTTTGAGATTCAGTGTCATTGCAATCATTGGCAACGAGGATATAACACTCGATGAATTCAACTCAGACGTAAAACAAACTCTAAGAACAGGAAAAAACGTTATAGAAATCATTCTGAAACCAATGAAAAACACTGAAATCAACCGCTAACAAACCTGTTTTGATGAACAAGCGATGGAACCCAAAACCCTATCTAGAGAGGGAACAAACCGCTTTTTCTCATGTTTTGAGGAGTAAGACCTTCCATTATTAATACATTAAAAATTGAATGACGATTATGAGACATTGAGACTACATATGCCTATTTGATTCCATGGTCGAGTATAAATATTGCATACCATACAAAAAATGTATTTTTGTGTTTTGCAAATCTTGGTCAAAGTTAATTTACACGTGTTATAATCAAGTAAAAAATGTATTTTTGAGATTTATGTGGAAACGAGAAAAAAACTTACTTAACCATGTGTTTATTAACGTCGTACTTTAAATGGAATTAGCAAAGATTTTTGAAACAATTAAAAAAGGAAAGTTGATAAAATTTTATAGTCCGAAGGGAATGCTACACATTTTGAGTTGCCATTTATGTAACACACACATACACCGAGAGTTGCGTAAAATTAGGGATCTTAGGTGGGGGCTACATCGACAATCTCCGGCTCAAATGACAGGCGTCAGCGCATGTGTTCATCATGCCATAGATGAGGGATTTGCAATCGACGACCTACAGGTGAAGAAGAAATGCATGCCCTCTAATCTTTCATGGTGTCACAATGCAAAGCTCCACAACCGCGTGTGAATGAGAGCATTGGGTGAAGGAGGGGAAAACAACACTAGTCCTTTGTGTGATGAGGGTTGCTGAACGACTTTGCCCTCTAGGGGTTAAGCTAGACTTGAGCGATGTAATTTATTGTGCATCCCATGGGCTTATAAGTGTTGTTCACATTGTTATCATGTTAACCATTGTTCTCATTTGTTATATGTGTGTGTAGGATGCGATTCAAATAAGAAGAAATCTTTAGGTGAGAAATGAGATTAAATCTGAGCCGTTCGATTCAACTATCTTGCAATAAAAGAGATTCATGTTGCACTAAAAAATGAAACTATGTGTGGTGGCATTTTCGTTAATACTTTAAAAAAATTGTGATACACCTCTCTGGTGCTGATCCCTTGCAACACCATCAAATTCTAGTGTAATATGAAACGGTTGTAGTGCAAAATTGCAAATTAATTTAAAGCTTCTTTATTTCAACTTCGTAAATAGAACGTTTAATATTCATTCTCATTTCTAAAGGTGTGATCTCTCCGCGCACTTGAATCCATATGCTGGCAAATCGGTAAAATCTTCTAAAAGACACGCAGACCATTTAAACATATGACAGTTTTCCGCCACCAGCTTGAACTAATAAAAACTAAAAAAAATCATAAACAAATAGTGGGGCATTTGGCTCCGATCTTCTGCCCTATAGAAAATTGTCTAACGGATCGAACACACATATGTGTGATTATTTGAGGGCAGTAGCGCAGGCAAGGCGGTATATATATTCGGGTGAGCCAATACAAAGAATTGTTATAGAAAAGTTTTTGCTCGATTTTTTAATTACCTTAGATAGAGTATATATCTAGAGAGAAGTGAGAGCTAGAGAGAGAAGTGCAAATAAATGCTTCAATAAAATGATTTTGTAACCCCTACAACTACCTCCAGAGGAAGTATTTATAGGAAAAATACGGGCTGGACTCTCAAGCCTTGGGCTTGGGAGACCCATTTACAATTGGACTGCTATTGGGCCGAATACAATGTGTGTAGAAATGACTAAGTGTAAGATCTGATTCCGTGAGGCTCTCGTGGCAGACGAGGGTCTGGCCGACGAGGAAACGGCCGATGAGGGCACGGCCGACGAGGACACCCTAATTCCCTAGCTTTGGGATCATATTCTGAGTTGGTCCCTCTTCGGCCGACGGGGGTCCTCTGGCCGACGAGAGCACCGCCTAGAGGCTTGTACTTTCTGTTCTTCTGAGTATGTGGGTCCCGGGGCCTATACCCATATACTCCATCAGGGACCTAGATTACGATTAACCCTCTAAGTATATATGCCCCTATTTGGAGGTAGGTCAGTAGGTGGACAACCCAAAGGAGAGGTTAATAAGTTGGTGGTCAAAAGGGTTAGAATCAACTAATATATGTACTATATATACATAAGTTTGTGAATTTGGTTTCAAATTATCAAACATTTAGAGCTTTCTTCTATGAGTGTTTTTCTTTTCTGGCAAGTAGCAACAAATCACACTACCAAAGTACAAAGAAATGAACTCCCAAGTATTTATATCTAAACATATACGTGAACTGTCATTTTCCAAACTCCGGTGAAATTTGAAATGTTATTCACATTATTATACATAAAAGTGTGTGGAGATTGAAATGAAATGGCCTGGTCTTTCTCTAATGTTGCAGGAATATAAGTTTTAGCCGTTCAGGAAAATTAAATAAATAATCACTACAAGAATATTACTTCGTCCCAATTTACTTAGTCATCTTTGACTTTTCTAATCAAATGTGGTATACTTTGACCAATTATTTAAACTAATATATTTATGCAAAATTTAATAATTTTATTTATACTTTTATGATACTCCGTAGTATTTTTAACAAAGAACATTTTCAAATCATTTTCATATTATTAATACTTTCTCCATATAAACATATAATTAGTCTAAGTTAGACGTCATTGACTTGAAAAGTCAATTTTGACTAAGTAAAATGGGATGAAGGGACTACATAGTATCAAATTCCCTTCTTTTTAATGTGAGAATAGAACGTAACTATAGTCGAGCACTGTGTGTTAACATGTCATATTTGTGTTTATTATTTTTATTTATGTAACTATAGTAGTACGTATTCGCTATTTATTTATCAATAAACAATATTTTTCGGTCCATGAAGTGTGATTACTTTTGTTTTTCCTGATCAACACAATTTTACCGTATTCGCTATGGTTTAATAGAACTTTTAAGCTAGATTAATTTAAACTAAATAACTAATATATATAATTCCTACTCTCCAAAAAATAATAATTACGGAGTAATTCCTTGCAAACTTCCTATCTAAATGATATATAAATATCTCCACCTCCCTTCGTCCCTCTAATTCAACATATTCTAGTAGTGTTTGTAAATATATATATATATATATATATATAGAGAGAGAGAGAGAAGAGATCAAATAAAAAGAGGTTCTCCCGTGCAAAGTGCGAACGAATGCACTTTTTCCTTATCGAATTTCACTTTTGCGTGTTTCTGTTGCACTTTTTCACAGTAGCAAAAAACTTTGTTTTAATTACGAAATTGTCACCGCGTTTTTTATCAAATTTAGTTCACTTTTGGCTCATTTTGAGCCATTAGATCTGGAAATGAATGCACGAGATTAATTCTCACTTTGCATGGGAAGACCTCTTTGTATTTGAACCATTCCCTATATATATATATTGAGTTTGTAGATTAGTAAGTTAAGCATGGTTTGTATGTGATCTCACCCCTATATATATATATATATATATATATATATATATATATATATATATATATATATATATATATATATATATATATATATATATATAGGGGTGAGATCACATACAAACCATGCTTAACTTACTAATCTACAAACTCAATAATATGCAGCACTTTGAACTTCAATATGCAGTACAAATAATGTAAAGATGCACTCTTTGAATTTCAATATGCAATACAAATAATGTAAATATGAAATTGCTATTTTATGGCTTGAATAATATCAAACAATTTGAACTTCAATGTGCAATACAAATAATGTAAAGATGATTCGAATGAGAGGACTAGTTTGTATGTGATCCAGCTCCTGCATCTTTACATTATTTGTACTGCACATTGAAGTTGAAAGTGATGCATATTATTGAGTTTGTAGGTTAGTATTTTAAGCATGGTTTGTATTTGATCTCTTAGCTATATATATATATATACACACACACACACACTCCATTACTTTTAAATACTCCGTACTAATTAACACAAATTTGAAAATTGTTTAGAAAAGAAAAATTAACTTTATCTTATACTCCCTTTGTATCTAATTAGTTGACCCATTTGCTTTTCACAAAGTTTAAGACAGTTATTGTAAACTTTATAAAAAGTAAGAAATTTTTGGTACTGCTGCGGTACTGTAGCGATACTGTAGCGGCTTTTTGAGTGGGATTCTTTCCAAAAACAGAAAGAAGACAATTAATTTGATATATCAAAAAAGGAAAATGTGATAATTAAATAGATACGGAGGGAGTAAATTGTTAAATAATTATGAAAATATAAAATGAGGTTTTCCTAAATATTTCTCAAATGAGCTTTTTGGACAAATAAAAATGTGACGACTAAGATACAATGAAATATTGTTTCCCTCCCAAATTGATTTGCAAAATTGACCTTTCTTGGTCAAACAGTTTCCTTTTATTCACTTATTAATTAGGATGTAAAATTTTAATTATAATCTAATTTGGAGTTTGCAACTTTAAATAGATTTTAATGTAGTTTCTGAATATATAAATTTTAATTGTTAAAAATTGAATTAATTATCAATAAAGAGGATTTAAGTTTAACATTGATTGATAAAAAATATTGTTTTTGCAAATAAATTTGGGGTGGAGGAAGTACATTCAAAGTCACTAAAAGTTATCATTATAGTTTTTTCAAAGAAGTTATCATTATAGTTACTATGTATAAACATTAATATTTTTATCACTACCCTTATTCTCGTCATATTAATCATTTGTGTGAACTGTGAAGTACAATAAGAAGAAGTCTTTTAGGTAAGAAATCATGAGAATAAAAAAAAGTTTGACTATATACTTCATAATCCCTCCTCCGTCCCAAATTATTTTGCAAAGTCAAGATTTTTTTGTTAACCAATAATAAAAGTCAATCCAATAAAAATTATTTTTAAAAATTAAAATTTACATATTCAGAAACTACATTAAAATATTTTCAAAGTTGCAAACTCCAAATTAGAATATAATTAAAAATTAAAATTCTAATTAAGCAAATTAAATAAAATGAAATTATTTGACAAAGAAAAGTTAAATTTGCAAATCAATTTAGAAAGAAGATAATATATTATTGCTGTAATAATGTGAGGCAAGACTTTATAAATACTTCTGAGTTTTGCACGGAGTATCTTTTAGTGTAAGAATTAAGTTTAATCAATGACTATTTTTCTACTTAGGACTACCTTTATGTCCAAAAAAAGACTAGGATATGATCAGTTCCTAGCTCGATCCACTGCCCAATAGCTACCTACTATCAACCCTTCCTACTTCAAACTCTTATAAATTACGTAGTAAAAGAGTAATGCCGGATCAAAAGAATACACTAACTATTCATAGAAAACATACGATTCCCAACTATTCTTTGTGTTTGTTTAGCACATAGCATAGAAAATGAATCAACCAAAAACTTCCAGCCCTCTCATTACTCTATGTCTTATCATTCTCTTCTCAATCACAATTTCTTCCGCCAATGCAATGACGCATAAAAAGTCACACAAGCCATGCAAGGAGCTCGTACTCTTCTTCCACGACGTAATCTACAACGGCCACAACGCCGGCAACGCCACGTCGGCCATCGTGGGGGCGCCGGAGGGCGCCAACCGCACCATCCTCGCCGACCAGTTCTTCTTCGGGGACCTCATCGTCTTCGACGACCCCATCACTCTCGACAACAACTTCCACTCCCCGCCGGTGGGAAGGGCGCAAGGGATGTACGTATACGATACCAAAAATACGATCACGGCTTGGATGGCGTTTTCTTTCGTGCTAAATCGTACTGGCTATTATCAAGGGACGATAAACTTTGTCGGCGCTGACCTAATTAT